CTGCGGAGAAAATACCTGTGGCTTACTAGAGAAGCATTTGATGTCCACTATTGTCTTTACTGTTAGCTTATTTACATTTTCTGGAGCATGATTAATTATAGTGCTTTTAGAAATCCAACATAAAAATAATTATGCAGGGATTATATTTAGGTCTTAAACATCATTTAGATATTCCTTCATTCATGTTGATTCCTCGCCTTCAATTGCACTAATACTATTAAGAGATGTAAATAAATCTTGTTACTCAATTTTGTGACATCTGCTCTTGCTATTAAGTTCAAGATATTAAAAGAATCATAGCTGACTATAGCTTGCATTGAAATGTTCCTCTCATTAAGATATTCACTTTCTTTGTTTAATGTTGACTGATGACAAGTGAATGTCCATGCTGAATTCTTATGTAAAACTTTTCATTATCAAAATTCTAGACAAGTTGCTATTTTACTACTCTCATCATTTTTTTCTTTGGGTTTGTGATATATGATTAATTACTTTCTAAATTCCAGGAGAGAAAGTCTGAATAGCTTCAGGGTATCTTATAAATAAACCTTGATTAGGCAAAAATGTCATACTTTCTTTCATTTTTTAAAAGTGAATCTTGGTTTTTTTTTTTGTTTCTTTTTTTTTGTTTATTTTGATCCTTTAAGTGCTCATAATAATTTGCTAGGTCATATCAGTTAGGGCTTGTTGTGGCAAGCAACAGAAATTACTTTTGTTAACTAAAATAGTAAAGGGCATGTATTGGATAGATGAAATAGCTAAAAGAAGTAAAAGAAGCTTTTAAAGTCAGGCTGAAAAAATAACAGGAACCAGAAGAGCTCAAGGTATTTAGGTGTATCATATTTCTAATCTCTTTATTCACCAAGTATAGTCATGGGACTGAAAAATGAATCCTTAGAATCTATGCAGATGAGAGGTACACCATTTCTTGGTATAGGAACAAAGATTCCCTTAAGAGCTGAGGATTCATAAGGGCTGAATCAACTCCAAGCATTCCAGTTGTACGAACAGGTGTTCACTCGGCACCCATTCCAATCTCATCTCTCCCCTTCTATCATCAGAAGTTGGAGAAATGAAAATACTTCATTTCCCAGTCTCCCAAGTGGGGGAGTCCATAGGATACAATTAAAACCTTTGGCAGAATTTTCCAAACCTCTACTTTCTGTGTTCTTTTTGTCTTGAAGGTGGAAATGATGGATAGTTGCGGTAGCCAACCTGTGCCCACGAGCATGCCCTATCGCATGCTAAACGTATTCATGCTGGAAAAAGAGATGTGGCTCTCTAAATTCAATGAACTGACACAGCTGCCTGGGCCTAGTATCCCCAAACTTTTTACTTTGGACCTAAAACCCCATACTTATTTAAGTCGTTGAGTTGTATGACTTTTGGTTCCCAGTACCAAACACAATTTTAATTGAGTTGTTCAAGGTTTATTTTCTGATTGAATTAATTTAGATTGTAAGCACAGTTCTTGGCCTAGGGAGACCTGGGCAGTGTTTGAGAGTTTCACTGTGTCAGAAAATGCAGGATGATCTTTGTCCATTTTCTGGTAGGGCTGTATTATATTTCTAATCTCTTTATTCTCCAAGAATAGTCATAGGACTGAAAATGAGTCCTTAGAATCTATACAGATGAGATGTACACCATTTCTTGATGTGGCCAATAAAAATTCCCTCTACATGTTCATGTTCTTGTCTGCGTCTGGCTGAGTGGACTGGAGAGAGCTAGCTGATGACAATGGCAATGACGTGTTGCTGGTGGGGAAATGAGGGAACCTGGGTCTCTGAGTACTTTGAACCTCTTGAAGGGGAGACGCCAAACCAGAAATACTCACTGGACCTTATGTAAACAATGATTTTTTTTTTAAATTGAGCATTATGTTACATCCCTACACCCATGAAGACTAAAGTAAAGAGAAACTCCATCGGGAATATAAAGACACCATTGCCAAAAGAAAGGGAATAAATTGTGGCAGGCCAAGAACAACAGCCATCCAGTATAGCAGCCCCCATAATGATCCACTGAACATCTTCAAAGGGGATTAAGATTTCAGATAGAATTAAGGGTGTTAATCAG